TGATAGTGTTAAATTCATTGACCAATGAGTGTGTCTAGCATTAATTTTCCCCAGTTACATCATTTTATACACATTTTTTAAGCTTGCTATATATTCTTTCCTTAATTTGGGCAAATATTTTAATAGCAGAATTAAGAACTTTATACATGATTCAGAATGTCAATAAAGAGCATTACTATATACGAAAGAAGAAAATTCGAGAAAGGTGGGAGCAGAAGGTGAGACTTACATCAATTATTTTCAGAGGTGCAGGATAAAGGCCTTTAGTCTGCTTTCGCACTTTTTCTTCCACCTTCTTATAAACTTGTTGCCTGACAAATGGAATGGTCATGGCGTATGATGTCAATTCTGGAAGGTAAAATGTTTTTAGATGCTTACTGGAAAGTCTAGCCTCCATGGATAATTTGTTCTGTAAATCCCATAAAAATGCAATAATTTTAGTTATGTGAAAGAACTGCTTTTTACTCTAATAAATACAACCTAAACATTTCTTTAAATATACTTTAATTAGCTGGTAAATGTCACAGCTGGGCCTTGGGTACATGGTGTATTATGCTATTACACTACTGTACTTTAATATTATTGTTTAAAATGATCCAAAATAAAAAGTAAATAAATGACTTTAGTAGTACAACAGTCAAACACTGCGCAGAGGAAGCTGGATCCCACAGGGCTGACCAGAGTTTGAGTCCCACCCCTAGCAGTGTGTGAAAAAACACACTGGGTATGCATGTGCCCAGCATCCCGACAGGATGAAGAATTTGAGAAGAAAGGATTGCAGTGTGACCAGGCCCTACTGGAGGCATATACTCTCTCTCTTTCATGGGCCATGCACCCTCTGACATTAGAAAAAAGGTAGTAATGAGTCAACATATGGTTGAGCACTTGACCCTACAATGGAGTAGTTACATCCCTGAGGGCTGACTTGTATCCATGCATTTACCTATCCCTTATTTTGAATTTACAGCAAATAATCTGCCAGGAAAGAACCTCTGCCTTTGCTCTTTGACAAGGATACTCACTTTCCACCAATCCTTTTTCTCTTTTAGGAGAGATCTTCTTCTCAGCTAGTCCTTTAGCAAAAGTAACTGCAACTTCTTCTAGGTATTCAATCGTCCGTTCCTCTGGAGGTTTTATTCCTGGTCCTATAAAAATAAGTGTAACAGAGTAGGATGCAAACCAGACTTAATCAGTCTCAGGTAAGAAAAACCCAGGTAGGCCAAAGCCAAAGCTCTAGCACCAACTGCCAGCACGGTTTTCCATTGCAGATCAGAGAGTGAAAGGTGGCAGAGTCAGGAACTCAAACATGAGGAATATCACTGAGGAAAGGCAGAACATCGTGCTGCAGGTGGAAAACAAGGTCTTAACCCACTTCAGTCTGACTTCGAATTCTGAGTAGGATGTAGTATAGTACAGCTCGTACTTTTGATATAATACTAGGGGAAAAAATGAATAAATTGCAAAGCCATTTGTAAAGACAAATATAAAATGGTACAACAATTTTGATGGTTTGATGGTTTCTTAAAAGCCAAACACATATCTTTTTCTTTTTTTTTTGAGAGGTTTTTTTCACTATAGGGCGTGCGTGCTCGCCAGACAGACAGAGAGAGACATAGAGACAGAAAGCGAGAAATCACCCCCCAAGAGGGGATGGTCACGCTGCAATCCCTTCTCCATTCTCTTCCTGGGATCTTGGGCATGCACGCACACGCGCCCGGCATGAGTTTCAAGCCACTGGGTCCGGGATGCGAACCGCGGTCGACTGCGTGGGAGTCCAGCGACATAGCCATTACGCTATTGCTGGTTCCCAACACATATCTTTTATATGGGCCAGTCTATCTATTCTTCAGTATTTACCTAATAGAAATAGAACACATGTCCACTTAAAGTCTTGCACATAAATGTTCACAGCTGCTTTATTCAGCACTCTCGCCAACTGGTAATAACTCTAATACTCATCATTTGGTGAAAAGATAGACAAAACTATCATAAATGTATACAGTGAAATAACGCCCAGTAATAAGAAGGAAAAAGTTGCTGATTTTTGCAACAGCAAGGATATAGCATAAAAGTATTATACTAGGTGAAAGACACAAAAAGCCACTAACTAAAAATGTTTTACTTATTGATTGTGGTAATATTTATATAGCTATGTACATTTGCAAAAACTCAAAATGTACATTCAAAATGGATAAATCTGTCATTATGTAAATAATATCTCAATAATGGTGATTTTAAAGAAATGTGAGGAACATACATTTAGAACAGTGATTTCCTTGGGAAAAAGGAGGCAAAGAAACCGTGTAGGGGGTGAGTGGCTCGAGATGTCAGTTACTGTTAATATTCTCATGTGATTAACACATACAAAAACCAAAGGAGGGTCAAGCACAGATGACATAGATCATTTAAGAATCAAAAACGATGACTTGACTGAATTCTGTATTCCTGATGTTTTGATTATAAATAAATTCAAACAGAAATCAGGGTGATGTTGAAAATGATTTAATATCTTAGAAAGCTTCACTCCTTGAAATGATTTACTTCTTAGTAAGTTTGAATTTTCCAAGAGTCATGAGATTGACTCTAAGAAAATCAGTATTTTTCCAAGGCTCGACTCTGAGACACGCTCACACTTACCTAGGGGTTCCACCAGCTGGTCAACCAGACCCATCTTCTTTGCTCTGTCTGCACGGATGTTCCTACCAGTCAGCATCATGTCAAAAGCAGCAGGCACGCCCACCTAACATGCAAGCCAGGAGCAGCATACAGAGGGAAAGAAAGCAGAGTGACGATTATAGTTTGCTAAGAATCAAATGAGCAAACGTTAAAATGAGGAAAACCAAACCAGATATTATGCTATCAGTAAAATTTTTAAGGATTATTTTTTTAACTTTATTTATTATTATTATTTGTTTTAATTTTACCAAAGAAAGACAAAAAAAGAGAAATAGAGATGAAGTGAAAAAGCAAGCTACCAGGTCCGAGACTCAAAGTGCGATCAGCCATGTGGAAGTCCAGCGTCTGTAACCACCACACCACCCACTGGCCCAGTTATTTAAATTTTACATAGTGATACACATTTAGGGAACTTTGAGAATTCCAGATGAAGTATAAATGTCTTCACCTCTTCTTTTAGTTCAGTGTGTATTTCTTTCTTACAGAATCAATAAGGTGGAGAACTAATTTGACATTTCCTAAAATTGTTATTTTTGTCATTCTGAGTTTCTTTTCTCTATCACTATATAACACTTAAAACTCCTATATTGGGAGGGAAGCAGGTGGCATAGTGGTTAAGGTGCTGGACTCCCCTATGGCCAGCCATAGTTTGAGTCCTAGGCCTGGTGGCTTTCTTTCTTACTTTCTTTCTCTCTCTCTGTCTCTCTCTGTGAGTGCACATGCCCTCTAGAAAAATTAAAAATATAGTAATAATAAATAATTATTTAACAAATTAGGACCAGCAGGTGGCGTGGTGGTTAAAGCGCTTGACACTTCCACATGGCTGACTACGGTCGGAGTCCCAGACGTGGTGGCCTGCTTTCTCACTCGCCTCCTCTCCATCATACTAAAATAAATGAATGAATAAATAAAATGAAATTAAATAAATAGAATAAAATTCCTATATTGGAACTAGTGGAAACTAAGAAATCTGGTAGTTTTGACAGTATTTGGAAAGATTTTTTGGCTTAACAAAAATAGAACTGAGGGGACCAGCAGTTGGCATAATGGCTATGTCATGGGACTCCCATGTTGTCGACTATGGTTAGAGTCCCAGATCCAGGAGCTTAAACTTACGCCGGGTGCATGTGCGTGTGTGCTCAAGATCCCGAAAGGAGAATGGACTGCGGTGTGGCCATGGGAGTGATTTCTCACTTTCTGTCTCTCTGTCTATCTGGCGAGCACACGCGCCCTATAGCAAAAACCTCTCCAAAAAAAAAAAAAAATATATATATATAGAACTGAGATCATCCTAATTAGGTAATGAGGGCAGGGCTGCCTCTTAAGAGTTAAGATGAAATATGACCCATGGATTTGAAAAACCATATAATACTGATACTTTGCAGAGAAGGAACAAATGAAATGATAGCTCTGGAAAAGCAGTGCTTCTTATTTACCTTTATCTTTCTTCAGGGACTAACGAAAGACCCTGATCAATAATTATGTGAATTTGGGACCAGCAGTTAGCATAATGGCTATGTCGCTGGACTCCCATGTAGTCGACTGTGGTTCGAGTCCCGGACCCAGTGGCTTAAACTCACGCCAGGCGTGTGAGTGTGTGCCCAAGATCCCAAGAGGAAAATGGAGAAGGGATTGTGGCGTTGTC